AACGGCGGAGTGTGCGGGTCCGCCTGGGGGGGCTGCACCGCAGAGTCGGCAGGTGTTTAGCAGACATGGCGCTGATCAAAGTAGCGACTCTGGGAACGGCGCTTGTCGGAGTGTTTACTGCCTGCTGAATTAAACACGAGCAAAACTGCCTCTCTCTTCTCCCTCCCCTTCCCTCGTAACGCCTCACACCGAGTATCTCATATCCAAAAAAAATCGTAAAACAACAGCTACCGTTTACTTCGTTTAACAGTGTGTGCAAAAGTACCAATACCTCGACATTCCCCGATTTTTCTACCTACTCTCCCTACACCATATTTAATTGCCATTTCCGGGTTACAAAACGCCGCTCATTACGAACAAACAGCAATCCTATACCCTCACCTGACGCATTCTGCAGCTCTGAATTCTCGCTTTTAAATGTTTATTATAAATGGTGAATGTGATTTTTTTGTGTTATTACTCAAAATATTTTTTTCATTTCAAGAGACTACCAAAGTCAAGTATTTTTGAAATCGTGATTTGTTTAGGTGGTGTGGCATTGCATGTTGGGTAGACGCCATTCCACGCCAGGCAATAGCAAATGCAGCCTAATTTATTTAGGCAGCTCAGGTTCAGTCCCTGGGTAATTCAGCTGGCGAGGGTGTCTGTACCCCCATCACAGACTCAAACGGACTGTGCTGCAGTAATTACACTGTCATCATTGTTAATGTGCCCTCTCTTTACCGTCTCCTTTCTCTGATGAACTGAATGCATTACAGGACACACCAAATGTTTCTGTCTCCATAGGCAATTTAAACCGACCAGGAGTCTTTCAGCTCTCCAGAGGATTTCATGCTATAATTTCCTGTGTGAAACGTCTCTTAAACTGTGCAGCTAGTAGCTCTGTGTATGTGTGTGTGTTTACTTTTACATTTATTCTGTGTGATGCTTCTAGAAACTAGCTAATATTGCTGCAGTTTGTGCTGTAACTGACCAGTCTGCTGCCATTAGAAATCAAGGTGGAGTAGTACTGTTTGTCATTGTAGAAGGTGGCCATAGAGAGGACAGTACAAGTACAGTGGTGTCACAACCAAATGAAAATTACTTGAATCCTATGATTACCCAGATATAACCCAAGAATCTGCATGGATATCTATTGATTATGTTATTACTTTATTGAATCGGCATGAATGCGCTTGTGAGATTGTGGACACATCAAAACTATTAATTATAATAGACAGAAAATGAATACACTCCTTTTAACATTTTTTTTTCTTCTGTTCCATACTGAATTATTAACAATTTCAAAATGTAAAAAATATTTGTGTTTCTGAAATATCTCCGTTAATACTGTAGGTATCACTTAAACTATCATAGAAGTAACCAGTTGCCTTCAGGATTACATATTAACTTAACTGCCCAATACGTGCAATTATCCTGATAACAGCATGGATTCCAAAGACCTTACAAAATAAGGGTGAGATAAATTTGCTGAAAGATATGCATCAGGTGAGGGGTATAAAACATGACAGAATCATACCTCAAAGTTTTGTTAACCTAATCAGGAAGAAGTGGAATGTGCATGACACCACCCCCAGTCTGCCAAAAGCAGGAGGTCCCTCAAAGCTAAGTGACCAGGAACAAAGACAGCTGGTCAGAGAGGCCACCAGGAATCCAATGGCAAGACCTACAGTCATGTGAAAAAATTAGCAAACCCCATTAAATATTTAGCTCTTTATTAAGAAATATATCAAAATTAAATCTTCTTTCAAATTATATCCGTAGATAAAGGTGATGGAATTACAAGAAACAAATTCACTTAATTAAAAAAAGAAATTAAGTAAGTTGCTAATTTCCACCGAGGAAAAAGTTAGGACACTCACATTCATCACTATTTAAAATGTCTAGAATTTGATTCAGGTGGCACCATATAAGGTGATAATGGTTAGAAGATTGTTACAGAGCTTTTTGGTCTTATTTAAACTATAGACATTTAGTTTGGCTTGCTCTTGATTGTTTAAGTGAGTGGCATCACCATGGTGAGATCCAAAAAGCTCTCTGAGGCCTTCAGAAAGAAGCTTCTGGATGGATATGAGTCTGGGAAGGATATAAAAAGAGACAAGAGAGTGTGTAATCAGCCATTCCACTGTCTGAAAAATAATTTACAAGTGGAGAACATTTAATCAACTGCCACCATGACCTGGACAGGCTGTCCTAGCAAGTTCACCCCAAGAGCAGACCACAAGATGCTGAAAGAAGTCTCCAAAAATCCTCAAATGTCATCATAGGTCATACAGGAAGCTCTTGTGACAGTTGATGTCAAGGTACATAAATCTACAATCAGAGATGCACAAGTTTGATTTACATGGGAGCTGTGCAAAGAGGAAACCCTTGCTGTCAAAAAACATCTGGGCAACACTGAAGTTTGCCAGAGACCCACCTAGACAAAGACCAGAACTTTTGGAACAATGTACTTTGGATAAATGAATCTAAAATTGAATTATTTGGATGCAGTAACAGAGGACATGTTTGGCGTAAACCAAAGAGAGCTTTTGAGCAAAAGAACCTCATACCAACTGTGGAGCATGGGGGTGGAAATGTCATGGTTTGGGGCTACTTTTCTGTGGCAGAATCTGGCCAGCTCACCATCATAGAACCCACTATGAATTTTTCATCATATCAGAGGGTGCTTGAGGACAATGTGAGATCATCTGTCCAGAAGTTGAAGCTGAAGTGGGGCTGGACCATCCAAATGACAATGACCCAAAACATTCCAGTAAATCTAACAAGGTATGGCTTAGAAGAAAGAAATGGAGAGTTCTGGAATGGCCAGGTCAAATCCCAGATCTGAATCCTATTGAAATGCTGTGGGGTGATTTGAAGTGGAAGCGCACGCAAGACACCCTTCAAACATAATACAGCTTAAGGAATTTTGCATCGGTGAGTGGGGAAAACTTCCTGCCAGTCGATGTCAGAGACTGATAGATAGACATGGTTATAGGAAATGTCTCATTGAGGTTATTTCAGCCAAATTTGGACATACTAGCTATTAGGGCATAGGGTGTCCTAACTTTTTCCTCAGTAGGAATTGGCTTCTTATTTAAACAAAGGAAATTAACTAAGTGAATTTGTTTCTTGCTTTTGCATTCGTGATTCAATTACATCACCTTTACCTATAGATATAATTTGAAAGAGGATTTAATATTGATATTTTGATATTTCTTAATAAAGAATTAAATATTTAATGCGGTGTCCTAATTTTTTTAAATGACTGTACAGAGTTTAATGAACAACATATGCATCATCCGACAATATCAATGATACTGAACACGTATGATGTATATGAAAGAGTGGCAAGAAGAAAGTCATTTCTCAAAAAATTCAGTGACCCAAAGCACAAGGCCTAGCCTAAGGCTGCTATGCAATGGCAGGAAAAAAGAATGTGGATTTTCTACAGTCAAAGTCTTGACTTAAATTCAATTGCAACTTTTTGGAATGACTGGACTGTTGCTGTTCATCAGTGAAAATTACCCCTGCCTCTCCCAGCTCAAACGGTTCTGCAAAGAAGAGTGGGCGAAGATCCCAAAAGCAGGTGTGCAAGCCATGTAAAAAGCTGCCCCAAACGACTGGCAGCTGTAATTACTGCCAAATGAATTTCCATCAGGTACTGGCACGTATACTTAATAAATGAAGATACCTCTGTTTTGTTGTGTGTCACTTGTTTTTTCAAATTAAAACTATTTCACTGCATTCATTTTAATGATGTGTGCTTGGGATCAGGGCAAAACAGGCCTTTTAAATGCTAAAATTAAATTTTAAATTACTGATTATAACACAAGAAAATGTGAGATATGTGCAGGAGGGTGTGTTCTTTTTCTGTCCCTTGTAATTATGGAATTCATTCTCCGGAAGTGGTCAGTGGCTCTAAAAAAAAGTCATTTTCATTGGCTGATCCAGGGGTGCCACTAAAGATTTTGGGCCCCATGAAAGTACATTGTATTGGGCCCCCAACCCAGATGAAACAGATTATGTTCCAAATTTTTTTGTGTCGCAGTCACTCCTTGGAATCATCCTAACTCTCCCCAGTTTTATGGTGCCTCTGGGCTGATCAATCTGTCCAATATCTGCATGACTTTGGACTTTTGGACTTTGGACAGGGTAGAATTATGGATTTTTTCATCTTGTAATTGGTTCAATTGAATAATTAGCTTGAATCATGTTGTCTTTCCATAAAAACTTGTTAGGCTGATAGGAAAGATGTAGAGGTTAGACCTCGAAAAAATAAAAATAATGTTTTCAGATATGTTTTGAATGATTACGGGAGGTACATTTGGTACGGCGTTTTCTTCATCTCCTTTGGAAAAGGTCTTAAGTATTAATATGAGTTGCAGGCTGTGTTTCCAGTGCTGTATAAAACAAATATGGCATCTCTTTGACAAATCTGGGATTTTCATTGGCTGTCAGAGATCATCCAAGAGTCAGATTTTATTTTACTCTCAGTGTGCTCTTGTAACTGTACTGCCTTCCGTAAAATAATTCCCCGACAACGATGTGCTCTTGAGAGCGGAAATCACTACAAAATATTTTAAGCTTTTGCTGGAAAGGGGAATCGTCTATGCCTGTCTAGACCAATGAAACAGTCCCTGCCTTTTAGTCACTGATCCGTCAAGGTAGCGCTCTTATTTGTTTGGGAAGCAGAGTGGCGGAGAAAGAAATTCACGCTGAACCCACAAGACCTCAGCGGGACGCAGCGTCTGAAACGTTCCCCTTTATTTCCGGTAGCTTGTCCGTGCTGCTTTGAATTTGCCGTGAGAAACTTTATCCCGAGAGTCCCGGTGTGAATTAAAGGCATTTGTCTCACAGCGGCAAGCGGGCATCTTCACATCCAATCGGGGATAACGGAGCACGCTTCCTAGCATTAAACATAGATCAGCGCTAAACTCTTAAAATCCCATGTTCTGTTATCCTTCTCCCTTGTGGACGCTTCTCTCGGCTCCTGTCAACGCTCTCTCCCCCCCCAGATGAGCAGTAAACGTTCCAGCAGCTTTCGGAGGGCCATCGCCAACGGCCGCCGCACGCTGCAGCGCGAGATCCTGCTGGACGAGACGGGCCTGGGCATCTACAAGCGCTTCGTGCGCTATGTGGCCTACGAGATCCTGCCCTGCGAGACCGACCGACGCTGGTACTTCCACCAGAACCGCCTCTGTCCACCGCCCGTCTTCATGGCCATCGTCACGGTTGTGCAGGTGAGAGACCTGTGTATTTGCCTTTGCATTTCACATTTAACGGCGCTCTCTGAGTTTGCAGCGGGAGGATCTGCAGGGAGATCTCTGGAGGGAGGTCTCTCTAGGATCCATTTAATGGTTTTTACTGTTAGATTTTAAGGTGTAAGGCTTTGAAACAAAAATGGACTGAAACTGGCAACTTTTTGAGCACCACCCACTTGTCAAACAACTACTACGTGGCACACAAACACGGAAGCAGTAGTGTACGTTTAACTCGGCTATTTTTAACCAGAGGATTCTAATTAAGTTTTTCAATACCCCCCCCAAAGCTCCCACACACACAAAGAAACTGCGAAACAGCAATAAATCTGGGGGAGGTCTGCATTGGCAGTACAGGGTACCAAGTCGATTGGGTGTTAAGAGTTACTCTGTGACCTCGTGCTCTGCTCCCTACTGGATCCAAGCTCACTGATCCAGTCATCCATTTGTGGTACCAGCAGAACCTCCCAGACAGTGCAGTAAATCCATTCCATCTATTGACACCATGAAGTGGGACTTGCTGTGAGATCCTGGTTCTTCAGAAGCATAAACTCCCTTGATGTCTCCAATTCCGAGCCTGTCCCTAAGCAGCCAAGGCAAAATCTCCATCTTATGTTTCTGCAAGCACTTCAACGCTTCTTAAAAAATGTTCCCTACAGTGGTAAATAAATTAATAGTCACTCAAAACCTGTATCTCCTCCTGCAAAAGAAACCACTTTTGAAAGACTTTCAATTTCTGAAATTGACTTTTGAGGAAAAAAAAATCTGTTGTATTGAGCTACCAGGGAAGTTCCAAGTGCTGCTGCGGTCAAGATTCAGATGTGATAGGAAACAGATGTGAAGTTGATTAAGGTGACTGACAAAATGCTGATCAAAGCAAAGAACAGCAATTGTGCCTGTTTTATATTTTAGCACTTTCATCATTTATTTAGCTTTTGAACCCTCATTCATATTTTCTTGAGCCTATGAAAATATGAATAATAATGAAAAAGTAAATGTTTTGAAACCCACAATCATAAAGCTATGTCATGTTTATTGCCCCATAGTAATTACACAGCAGCAACTCTGTAATTAAGTGACTTGATATTCTAAATTTATTGAACCGTGTTAGCTGTAATAAGAGTACAATTACAGCAGCTGGCTGTTATAGATGATTGTGTTTATGTGCTGTCCCGTTTTTTAATGTTTATCCCTGATTCGCGGCGTTTCTCCTGCCCGACGCAGATCATCGTGTTCCTCTGTTATGGCATCATGCTGAACAAGTGGGTGCTGCAGACCTACCAGCCCGATTTCATGAAGAGCCCCCTGGTGTATCACCCTGGGCACCGGGCCCAAGTGTGGCGCTTCTTCAGCTACATGTTCATGCACGTAGGGTAAGGCGCCAGATCGGAAAGGCCGGGCAACCTCAAAAGCCTGCGGTCGCCAGAAATAGATCCAGGAAATTGGCAAGGTGCCACCGCGGGGCGTGAAGCATCCCGGGCTAAGCGAAGCCTCTTTTACTCAGTTATTGGATTTATTGTCCATGTTCAGTTGCAGGAGACACTGAGTAAAGTTTTTAAAAAATGTACCTTATTAAAGGAATGAGGAATGTTTGCAGAGAAGCCTAGAGGATGCTATGGTTTCTACCTGAGCACTTAAACACTTCACTGAATTAATTGCTTGATCTGATTTAGCGCTCTCTCTCAATGCAGAGGTTATTAGCTGAGACATGGGAAATCTGTTTGTGTTTATACTGAGACCCTGGATACTATGTGTCTAGAACAGAGATAAACTATTTCTGTTGGTAGCGCAGTGGGCTTCTGTAAATCCAGCCTGCGTGGGGCCGCAGCGTGTAGCCAGAATGAGTATATCCACAGTGAGCCTTTGCACGCTGGCGTGCTACTGACCGTGGCTGTGTTCTGCCCCCCCACCCCCACCCGGCCAGTCTGGAACAGCTGGGCTTCAACGCGCTGCTGCAGCTGATGATCGGCGTCCCACTGGAGATGGTCCACGGCATCCTGCGCATCAGCCTGCTCTACATGGCCGGGGTGGTGGCCGGTGAGTGGCTACAGCCGCCAGCGACAACATGCGTCCACACTGCCAGGTCACCCGACACCACATCCTCACGGTGAGCAGTCACCGCCCAGTGATTATGGCGCTCCTGCACAGCTGCTCACAAGGATAATGGCTTTATTTTCCTTGAAGTCGTCATACAAATACACTTGATCTTATCCTGAAGTCAATTTTATGGTCACTGTTACGGAACAAAGCCCTAAAACTCTATGACATTAACTTGACGCACTTTGACAAGCATTCTTAAACTAAAGCTGGTTAAAAATGTCGTTTTAAAAATTGTATCTGGCTTTAGATTTTGAACCCCCTGCATATGGCACTTATCTTCACAGCCCCACAAGGTGGCATGTCCTGATAGTTTCTCACTTAAGCGAAATTTGATGTTTGCACTTGGGGCGCAAAAAAAAATGATCCTGCTTACCTTATGTGATAACACACGTATCTGATGTACACACAATCTATCATTTTGCCTGCCTGTAGGGTATCAACAAACCAGTTATGCAATGGTGAAAAGTGCCATGATATAATACAAGTGTAACTTCACAGAACCATCAATTTAATGAGCCGTCACAATAAACTCCATTCGAACCACTAATGAAAACAACCACTAAATCTGTGCATGATAGCTAGCCAGGTGAGACACTTAAAACGTAATTTACCTAATTCGGGAGAAGTCTCTTTTTTCGACTGGCATAGGCTACATCCACACGTTTTTGTTTAAAAATGTAGATATTAGTCTCTGGTTTTGCCTTTCATCCACACTACCCCAGAGTTTTCAGCCCCCAGAAATGGAGAGTTTTGATAACGTTCTCAGAACCATATCCTTCTGAAAATTCTGTTTTAACATTGCAGTGTGGATGGGTGAAAATGGAGACTTATGAACATGCAGACTCTGAAAGCATCCTAATTGGACCCTACTCGTCATGTGGCCTTTCCTTGATTTGATCCCGCTAGTTACAACATCTCATTGTCTGATTGGTCACCTGGTCACCCTACCCGGAAGTAAACAGAAATCCAACATGGCGGATATGGAGGAGCTGCTTTCAGTGGCGCTTCCCCTGTTGCAACTAAACAGCATGTGTGACTGCCACATATTTGCACAAAAAATAACTACTTTACTGGTTACTGTGTTGATCCACACATGCCAAATGTAGGCTAACAGCTATGTCATTTCCAAAACGTAGCAGCGTGAATGTAACATAGATGTCAAAATTGCTAATTAATTGTGATTTTGATTCAGAAGACTGGGGGGGATACTGTTCCCCCCAAATTCTGCCCATGGTTTCCCATGAAACATCTCTCATTTGGGATCTTCCAAAGGGCACTGGATATACAGAGTTCATGATTTCGAATGCAGCTGGTAGAGTAATCAAATCACCACTGGGCCCTTGAGCAAGACGCAGCTTCTCTAGTGGTTCGGAGAGCTGGCTAACCCTGTGCTCTGACCCAAAGGTTTTTTCACTTGGGTGGCGATTTGAATAGGCATGTAAATGCGGTTGCACATATATGCTAATGACACATATAGAACACTGTTCTATCTCCTTGCCGTATTGCGGGCTGTACTGAAAGAGCCCAGACCTGACAGAAAAGCCAATCCGTGCTCATCCTCCCACAATGACCAGCAGACCTGGTAAACACTCAAGCTGAGAGTGCCGGAGATGCATCTCTCAAATTCAGCACAGCACTAGGAGGGTTTGTTGACAGTAGGTCTCATCTCTCTCGATCCTTATCAAAGGCAGCCTGCACCTTGCTGTTCCGAAAGGCGCAAAAAGGGCTTTTTCCATTCCCAAATCGGAAGTGATAAAAATCACGCTGCCATCGACCTTGTACCCGTCTTTGTTGCTTTGATTAGCGAATATTCGTTTCTTTAATTGCTGTCAATGGCGTGTGTGAGTTTTACTGCATTCCTTTCTAACTTATTGACCTTGATTTACAGCCAGTAATGGAGAACGTGTTTATCATTCCTGCCATCATTGGCAAAAAGTCATGTATCCGTTCTACAGGATCTGTTTTCAAGGAGGTGACACCAATGGCCGAATGTTAGCTCAGCCGTGTGGCTTCTGTTCTCACCAGAATGTTTTATGTTTTAAAAGTTATGTGCAAATGTATATTGTCTTATTTTCATTTTCTGTGTCCTATACAAAACAACATATTGGGCAAAGTAGGGCACCCAGTGGCCCAGCTAGATTGGGTTTCGTTTTTGGAGGTATTTAACAGAAACCCTTATTTGTTTATTCTGACCTAAATGCTCAACCTTAAAAGGTCCTGCTGTATTTCAGTGACTTCACACCTTTCCGTGCCTTCCTGTGTATGAAAAATGCTACTTTGTTTCAGTGTGAAATGGAGGGGGGGTGCACAGGGAAGATTCATCCTGTAATGTGGGTGAGGAATGCCTTGGGAGGGGTGTTGCGGTGATCGGCTGACTGATGGAGCTACCAGGAGTGGAGGCTGTGCTGAATGCCCGGGGGAGCCCGTGCGCGGGGGATGGGAGAGATCAATGGAACAGGAGGATGGGTTTGCAGACGTGTTGCTTAAGGGCTAATGATCCATCAGGCCTGGCCCGTAATTAAGAGCTCAGACTCTGCCAGCCGGGTTGAAATGGTCAGGATGAGGAAGTCGGCCCGGGGTCAAGCGGCAGAGGCTACGCAGGGGAGAGACAGAGTTCAGGCAAACACTGAAAGACTGACGCGATTTCTGCCCCCTTTACTAAACACAGGCAAGTTTGCTTTCCTCTATGTACATAAAGCACCCTCCACAATTATCGGCACCCCCTGTAAAGATTTGTAAAAAGGGTTAGGAAAAAATCCACCTTTTGGTGAAGCAGTTTCATGTCACACTGAAAGAATGAGAAAAATCCAACCTGAAAGAAAAACAAATCCTTCATCAAGAAATAATTATTTTCAACAAAAACACATGTGCCACGATTATTGGCACCCCTGCTTTTAATACTTTGTACAGCCTCCTTTTGCCAGTATAACAGCACTGAGTCTTCTCCTATGACATTTTATAAGGTTGGAGAATACAGAGCAGGGCAACTGAGACCATTCCTCTTTACAGAATCTCTCCACATCATCCAGGGTCCTAGACCATCTCTCGTGTGCTCTCCTCTTCAGCTCAGCCACAGGTTTTCAGTGGGGTTCAGGTCAGGGGACTGAGATGACCATGGCAGAAGCTTGATCCTGCAGTCAGCTAACCATTTCTATGTTAATTTGGACATGTGCTTAGGATCACTGTCCTGCTGGAAGATCCAATGAAGGCCCAGTTTTAGTTTCCTGGCAGAGGCAGCCAAATTTTGATTTAAACTGTCCTGGCATTTCATGGAGTCCTAACGAGGTTTCCAGGGCCTTTGGAGGAAAAACAGCCCCACAAGATCGCAGAACCTCCACCATATTTGCATTTCGGATAAGGTTCATTTCATCATAGCCATCCTTCTTTTTACGCCAAACCCACCTTGTGTTTATTGCCAAAAAGCTCCACTTTTGTTTCATCAGACCATTGAATTTGGTTCCAGTCAAAGTTGTAGTCATGTTTGATGGTGCTCCAGGTGCTTAAGTTTGTGGTTAACTGACAAGAAAATGCTTTTTCTGGCAAACCTTCCAAATCTGTTAGCATGAAGGGGGCGTCTGATAGTTTTTTCAGAGATGTGGTAACCGCAAGATTTTACTTGGTCTTGTAATTCACCAACAGTCATCCTTGGGGATTTTTTTGCCTCTCTTACGATCCTCCTCACTGTACGTGGGGGAAAAATAAACTTGGGTCCTCTTCCAGGCAGGTTTGTAACAGTTCCAGTTGTTGTCCACATTTTTATTATTGCCCTAACAGTAGAAATGGGCATTTTAAAGCGGGTAGCTATTTTTTAATACCCATTCCCTGACTTATGAAGGTCAGCACACTTCTCCCTCATTTGGTCTGTATGTTCTCTTATCTTTCCCATGTTGATGGATGACTAAGGGAATTTGGCCTCTGTGTCACCTCATGTTTGTATCCCCTGTTAACCAGGAAGTCATGGATTGCAGCTTGAAGGTTCCTATTCACTTCACTCAACTCAAAGATGTACAATTTACAGGGGAAACATGTTTAAGTTACATTGTGTTCACTATAATTTCCAGGGGTGCCAATAATCGTGGCACATGTGTTTTTGTTAAAGATAATTATTTCTTGATGAAGGATTTTTTTTTCTTGGAATAAATTTATGTTAATGAAACGTTGGATTTTTCTCATTTTTTCAGTGTGACATGAAGCTGCTTCACCAAAAGGTGGATTTTTTCCAACCCTTTTTGGAAATTTTTACAAGGGGTGCCAATAATATGCTGTTGTGGAAAATAACAGGGCCAATTAGATAGCATAGTACTGATAATCCTACAACAAATTAAAAACATCAGTATCAGTACACTAAATCATCCGTCCATCCGTCCATTACCACTTTTCCAGTACAGGGTCGCAGTGTGTTTGGAGTGTATACCACCAATAACCATGAGGCAGGGCATACTCTATCTACACTATCCCATAATACGGGTGAGTTAGAGTCCAGAGTCTCTAACCCATGCAGCACAGGGAGAACATGCAGGCCACAGAATACCTGGGGTGATGCTAAATAATATCTGTATCATAAAAAAAAGATGAATGTGATATACCACATAATATGGATAAGCAGGTTTGCAAGTCATTTGAATGGAAAGTAAATAATAGACATACAGTATGCCAGTGAATTAAGGTTATATAAGCTCTGAAACTGCCTGTCTCTAGTATGTTCTCTGTAAAGATAAACATTTTATAGTGTTCTATGTAATTGAGTACATTTGACCACTTATAAATAGCAAGTTCTGCAATTTATGGTGTGGCAGTCAAAGTCAAAATGACTGGTTCTGGCACGTTTCATTGTGCCTCAGTTTAATTGTTTTAGTGATGACAATGGGGGGGGGGGGTCCTCCAAGTTATTTGTCAGGAACAGACACTCTGCCGTCTTTTTTTATCTCTTTATAAAC